ATATTTAATATGTAAATATATGAAATTTAATTTAAAATAATCAAAAACTTTACCAGATCTTGTTTTTTATTGAAAAATCTTCAACGCCATCATTATCCCAAGATTCCGGAAGATCAGTAACACTAATCAATGTAGACAAGACATCTTTTTTTTGTTGTTCACTTGGCCTTGAATATATACAATATGACGATTCGCTTTTATGGCTAGTTATTGACATCGAGGTAACAATCAGAATACCCTCACGAAACAAGTGTGTAATTGGTGTAGTTCTTTCTGAGTGATTAACTATATCACGATCTTTGATATTTATTCTAACATTGAAACAAATATTTTTCATAAAATTACTGCACGAATTTTGTCCCAATTTAACATCGAGATACCACTTGCCATCATTATATTCTATATTAAATAATTATAAATTACTGTAAAATAATATATCAATTAAAGTAAATAAGAAAAAAAATACCATAAATGTCTTTATTAATTTTGAGATATAAAAATTGACATGCACAATTTGTGGGTCTTTTGCTTAAATACAACTTAATATCATGAACGAGCACTAAATACCCTTCAGGATCTACAGGTACTGGTATTATAAGCGAATCCAAATTTCCTTCAATAACACCGGGTCATTTTTTTGAGAAAATTTTGTAAACTGAATCCCTCTATTACTAAGAAAAGTAAACTGTGTAACCTTCATTTGACTATGTTCACCACCACGTGGAGCAAAAAGGAGACAACACCACATAAATACCTGATATTGAAGCCCTTGGCTGTATTAATCGACAATGTCTTATGATTAAATATTGTCTTTAATTCGTCAGCTGACAATAGATCATGATGCTTAGTAACCTTTCCGGATTACTTTAGAACCTTCATTTTTTCATTAAGAACTTCCCACAATAAAGAAAATTCACTTTTATTGTTAATTACAAATTTTTGACTACCACCCGGATGCTTATAAATGTAATTACTTAAACAATTATAAGCGTTAACTAATGAAGAGAGACTATAATCGCTTCTATCTTGAATTTTTTGTACACCACAGAAAAATTCTGTCATTTCCTTTTCAAGCTGGTCTTTACTAGTGACCATTTCGATATAATAACAATATCCAACATTATTCCACCACCTATTTAGAGCTTTTACCCACTTTTGTGTAGCCTTGCAAGTATTTTCTGGAATACAAGATTCGATTATTTCATCGATTTTCTTATTAGTAGGTAAGTAATCACCACGCACTTTAGTATTTGATTTTTTTTTTTTATAATGTAAAATTAAATTATTTTTTGTTATTTTAAATAATATAAAAATTTTGCTCTAAATATTTAACTATAACATACCATCAAGGCAACTCAGATCAGTGTTAGCAGATATAACAGACTTGGATCAGTGCCGACAGATACAACAAACTTGGACTAGCATTAACAGATGCAACAGACTTGGATCAGCGTTCGTAGGTACCAAAAGACTTGATATAGTGTTGGTAGGTACCACAGACTTGAGACAGCGTTGGTAGGTATTAAAAGACTTGGAACAGGTTGGTAGGTACTACAGACTTGGATTAACACTTTCAGATACAATAGACTTGAAGTTTCGTCAGCTTCAAAAAACCCCTTTTGTAATATATATTTGGGCACACACAATTCAGATATGTAATTAAAGAGGCACAGACCTCAAAAATTTAAAATATATACTTTTGGGGCATAGCGAAAGTATAAAAAAAAAAATTGTCAGGTGAAAATCTATTTATAGCATTATTTCAAAGTCTAATGCATTACACAATACATATTAATTTTTGAATCGCTGATCATCATAAAAAAAAAATAAATCTGTTATTGCATGCTACGCAGCAATAACTATTATATTATGTGCTTAAAATCTACTGGCTCTTTCGCTCACTAGAAAAGTGTGTAAGCACACTTTTCTAGTAAGTGAAAGAGCCAGTAGATTTTAAGCACATGATACTTTATATATTTTATATTCTCTTCCTAATTGTATAGTGACCCAGCTATACCGGCTAAGATCACCGACCAATCAGGATCATCTATAAAATACTACAGTTATTGCATACTTTGTATGCAATAACTATTTAATATTTATAATTATAACTATTGTAACTATATTCTATAAAACTAATCAAATTTAAATATTAAATGTAATGTAATACACTTAGAAAAATTCAAAACAAATTAAAAATTATCAAAAAATAGTTATGACTCAAAATTGAATATAAGAAACTACTTTTTGGGGTTTTAACAAAAAAAAATTCTTGCTAAATTTTACTATAAAATAGCTTTTTTTACTATTGTTACAAGTGGACTGTAGCCTTCTTAATACAGCACAAGTAACAAAGCACATAGCTATAGAGCTCTGTTGCGAGATTATAGCAGTGTGGAAGTGAAATACAATTTTACTAAGGGCAGTTCATGGAAAGTATATAGTTTAAAGAAAGATATATTTTATTTATGATATAAGACTCTAATTACAAGCTATAATTTTCTATAACTAAAGGGAGTCTGTATCTAGAGGGGGGTGTCTGAGTCCTATCTGGCAGGAAGGAGGAAAGTCAGGGTTTATATATCTTTTTCCTAACTAATAAAACTAATATAAATAATAAGAAATGGTAGAAACAATAGAAATGGTAGAAACAGTAGAAATGGTAGAAACAGTAGAAATGGTAGAAATGGTAAAAATTGTAGAAATGGTAGAAATGGTAGAAATGGTAGAAATAGTAGAAATGGTAGAAATGGTAACTATTCTTTTCATTTATCACATTACGTAAAACTACTTAATAATATTACACGATAATATAATATTATAACAATAGAATATAATAATAATAATAATAATACTAAATTAATACTAATAATAAGAAATTTAGAAAACTCATTCTATAACATTTCTATCTCCTTTAAGAATGAACTCTGTGAATTCTAACTTCACTTAATAGTATCGTAAAGTCTTCTTCTTTTAATCCTTTCAAGTTAGTATAGATAATTGATATAGTGGAATAGAGGTGAGGTAGTCCACAAACTTGGAGGAGTTGATAAATTCGGTCAGCACATTTCCATGCTCTAGCAGCATGTCGTGATCCTAGGGCTTTGCTAAGGTTTTCTTTAATCTTCTGGTTTTTCTGGTTATTATCATCAGCTTCTTTCTTTGGCTGTCCTAGATAATAAGAAGTTTCTAGAATTCGAATTTGTTGATCACATGACTTTTCACAGCTCTCTTCTTTTAAGCGTTTAATAATTTCTTGAAGTTTTTCCTTAAAAGTTATTTTGGTCAAAGAGTTTTGTTGTAGAAAAACTTCATCTTTCTCTTTTGTGAAATCTTCAATAAGCTGGGTGAGG